AAAAGGCTGTGATCAGATCATGTAACGTAGGGAAATATCCTAGAATAGAAACCCGTTTACATTATTGAATCTGAGGGGTCGTTTGGTAACGTTTTCGTTTTCGTGTCTTCAAAATAATAAAAAACAGAGACAATTTTTGTCTCTGTTTTGTGATAAACACTGAAACAAAAAATATGTTTGAGTGTCATTTTTGTCTATCAAATTATGAGAATAAAAAACAAAAAACATATTTGGTAACTACTTCACGTTTTATCCTAAATATGCTTTATAATATATCATACAACAAAATACAAATCCAAAAATTCCTTAAACCAAAACATCCACTAATTTATCAAAGAACACCTAAATAAAAATAATTAGATTACATGAATCACTACTCACATTAATAGTATTAATCCATCAAAGATCATCAAACTCTTTCAATCTACTCATTAGTTTTTTTTTTTTCCAGTGCACCCTTAAAATCAAATAAATACATCAAACAAAGGAAAGCCAAATTTGAAATTACAAGAAAGCCTTATCTCCTAGTCTACTAGCATGAACAATAGTTTCATTATCTATGATCTTAGAAGAAGAAAAATCCATTCACTTCAGTGTAGGACACCCAACCCCAATTGCAAAGCAATCTGGGTTTCGATCAATGAAGTGTTTTGTTGTGTTATCAAATTGGAGGTCCCAATTGTCGTCGAAAAGAGCTTCGAAGAGTGAATTTCGGCCAGCAATGACGAGGGTCGTCACTCACTCTCACACACACACACACACATACACACACAGACCCGTCACTCACACACACACGCACAAATCTTTGTAAATATGCACATATTTGTGCATAAATATGCGCAGTGCATATATGCGTAGATTTGTGTCGTCATTTCCGGGTTTCACAGATAACAAACTAGAGAGAGAGAGAGAGAGAGAGAGAGAGAGAGTGTGGAGGAGAAGAGAAGAGAGAGAGTCGATCTGTGTGGAGGAGAAGAGAGAAAAAAGACCCCCTATTTATACTTCGAGAAATGAATGAGTCTTCTGTGCCTAACAAGATTCGAAGTTGAGATCTCATTTAATCAAGAAGCGCGTGTTTTGTGTTTTGCGTGTTCTCTGAAACACAATTTTTTTGTCTTTGTCTCCAATACAATAAAAATAAAACAAAACTAAAAACAGTTACCAAACATATTTTTGTTTTCTTTTTTGACAAATTGAAAACAAAAACACAAAACAAAGGATAAAAATGTTTGCCAAACAGCCCCTGAAATCCATAATATTTTAGATGTCTTTTAGGTGATCTTGTCTTGTGATTTCGAGCTTCATATGCTTAATAATTTGTGCTCTACAGCTCCCAAAAGGTACTCATCAGTGGTCAAGCTTTCTTACCCCTGAAGAGCTAGTCCTGATCCTACAGCGTGCTTCTATCTCTGTAAGTGAAATACACATCTTTTGACGATTCTACTGATTTTAATTCGGTGTGCTTAGTTTACGAAAACATATGCATCAGTTCAATACAGCATATTCTTTTTTCTTTCAATTAATTATGATCATTTGCACTGTGATTGGCTTTGTCCAGGTTGAAGAGATGGCTGGGTTCACATACAACCCCTTGACGGGGCGATGGTCTCTCTCTGATGATGTCAGTGTAAATTTTATTGCATTTGGTACCAAAATCAGCCAATAAGTTGGTGGAATTAAGTCTGCAATTTTTTTCCTTTTGGGCAAATTTCAGTGTTTTCACCCAGTGATTGGGCAAATTTCAGTGTTTTCACCCAGTGATTGTGTAAATCACAACCCCATCCACCCCCTCCTCACAAAAAAACCCCCCCAAACACCAAAAAGAAAAGAAAAGAAAGAAGTAATCCCCAAACCTCCACCCCAACACAAATGGATTTAAATAAAAAGGGAAAAGGCCTCACACAGAACAAAACCACTCTTCTATGCCTTATTCAGTTCTAAGAATTAACCTTAGATTGAAAGCTTGCACCAAATTCCCCCCCCCAAAAAAAAAAAAAAAAAGAGTTCAGTGAAACAGTGATGAGCAGAGAGCCATACAAAGTCGAAATTATTTTTATGTTGACTTAAACCCTAGCCTACGTTATCTAAGTGGGTATGCTCTGAGCACATCTTGATATACCTTATTATAACCGTTAACTAAGTGAAAATTTTGAAAAGCAATCAAAAGCAAGTTGGTTAGTGAAGAAATTCTTCTGGTTGAAGGAGTAAAGCCAGATCACTCAGCTGTGGTTGATCGGATGAGGTATGAATTGATGGTAATACTAGTATGCTTTATGTACCTGGCCGATTTTTATCCTTAATTTTACTTGCTTTTGATTCCGCAGAGTCATCTGAAGGAGCATGTTGTATGTGTGAAGGATTCCAATTCTTGGGCTGTAGGAGAAGAGAAACTCGATTATTTCTTTAAAACAAAAAGTTAGTATCTAGCATTAGTGTAATACAATGTGTAATGAGAGGCTTATTCTTTTACCCAAATTTTTTTTTGCCCCCCCTGTTCTACCCCTATACTCCCTGGGCATTTTGTTCTTTTGTTTTTTTCTCTTTTTCTACCCCATTTTGTGGGGTTTTCTGGTTATTTTTTGGTAGATTGTGTGTTGGAGGGTCAACTTGGGTTTGAAGAATTAGATTTAAATTGTCCAACAATAAGCCTCGGTTAGATGTAGTGAATCAAGTTTTGCCACTTGTCACTGTTTGGATAACTTAAGATACCGTATTGAAATTTGCATGTAAATAAAGATTTATTACAAATTTAAGTTATGACAAAATATGAATTACGACTACTTAGGGTCAAAGTTTCAACTCAAAAAAGAAAATGTGATCAAACTCAATATTGTGATTGATAACAAATAATTTTATGTTGTTATAATTGTATCTAATTCCAGCTTATTTACAGTTATCTTTTTTCTTTTTTTTTTTAATTTTTTTTTTATTTTGTTGTAACTTTAAGTAGAGTGTTAAAACGAGATTGGATTTGCAGGTTTTTGCTTACCATGGACGGTTGGGCATGCTTTGTATACTTTTGGACTGCCTTTTCTTGGAATAAATGGAGCTACTGCTGATTCTCGCAAAATGATTAAAAGAAAAGGTCAAATTACATTTTCCATCCCAAAAGCTCTAAAGTTTATTTCTTTTATAAACCTTTTGGGACCTGACTACAGTACCGAGATAGAATATTTTAGTACCGTTCCGAAATTAAATTTAACAATTGATTTCATAAGATTAACTATTGATCATCACTTTGTCACTACCAACTTTGTGAACTTGGTAACTCATAACTATTTAATTGGTTTTACCATCCCAAAATTTGGTATTATTATCCTAAATTATAATAATAAATTTACTCCAAAGGTTATATTATCATCCTCAAATAGTAATAAATTCTCTTAAGTGAGGTAAATTTGACTCAAATGGTGATACATTCCCCCAAAATGGTTATATCATTGCCCCAAAATGGTGTTACCATCATCCTAATTGTTGATAAATTAGCTCCAAATGTTTGCATGATCACCCAAAAATGGACGTAAGCTCATCCAAACTTGTAGTAAACTCTGCCCCAAACAATATCAAAGACACCCAAATTGTTGTATTATCACCCCAAATGATGGTAAATTACCCCCAAACAAGGTGAAGTTGCCATAAGCATACCCAAATAGTTGTATTTCACCTCTAAGTGATTATGGCATAACACTGAAAGGTAAACACTTGACCCAAAATGGTATAAATTTGGCCTCAAATAGTTATATAACATAACCTCAAATGGTATGAACTCGACCTCACATAGTAGTAGTTTGACTGCCGTAACTTCCCATCGAATTGAGTTAACTTGACTCCCAAATGACAGTATCTTGGAATGATATTAATGCACTCCAAATTGTCGCAACTTAACCTCAAATAGCGACAATTTTACCTTAAATGATAGTAACTTCATCCCAAACATTCAAAATTTCACCAATAATGTTAATAACACGATCATAAATGAAAGTAAAATGACTCAAAGAGGAATTATTTGACCCTAAATAGTAGTTATCAATCTAAGTGACAATAACATCTATACTACTATTTAGCGAAAAAAATAATCTACACTACTAATAAAAAAAACCTTAACATAGAAACTTTTAATGGACTATTTTGCACTTAGAATTATGAAGGCCATTATGCTCTTCTATATTTAAAACATTTAGACTATCACCATACCTTAATGTGTTTAAATCTGAAAATTATCTTCCATCATATCCTTTAATTTTATAATCTATATCTATTATCTATTACATATATGAATTTCAATATCTATGAAAAGCCTTTTGATTGCCTATATTATCCTTAAAAAATATCAATACAATATTATAGTTTTTTCAATAAAATGTTCAAAAAAAATTTAAAAACTCCATCAATATGACATTACCCATTTCATTTGTAAATATAACATTGTGCTTACATATGTATAATTTCTTTTTCATCTATAAGCTCAACCCTTCTCTTTTTTCTATTTTAGATACTCACCAGTTTGGTTTGGTGCAACAGATTTCTTATTTTTTGTCTGCACTCTCAACACTGACCTTACCAATCGTCCTAACTTGGTCGATGTTAATGTTCGGGAAGTTAGCCTCCGTAACTTTCTTGCTTGTCGTTCCTTCTGCATGACTCTTTCACCGAGTCATTTGATGTCTCGAAGGTTGCCAAAGCTTGGTGGAAGCGGTTGTAATTTGACAACGACATAGCCTTCGCTATCGACCAGTGTTTTAAAACCCAGTTCGGTCCGGTGGGTCAACTTAGTGAACCGGTCCCCTAACCGGGCCGGGTTTATTAAAAAATCGTTTATGTAAAGAACTTGGGATAAACACGTTGAACCGGTCAAAAACTGGTAAACTTGTGAAAATCAGACGAGTTTACCAAACTAGCCGGTTTGATTTCATTGGTATAAATGTGAGATTTTTTTATTTTTTTCATATTTTGGGCATTTTCTGTTTTTTCCCCTTTTGTTTTACCCTAAATCGTTCCAGACCAGCGACCACAGCCTCCACTCTAGCACCAACAGCGATCAGCCTCCACTTGAGAGGACACACAGACCATGGAAGAAGATTATTGTTGTTGTGGAGGGAATATACAGTATAGAAGGGGCACTGTGCAAACTTCCAGAGATCGTTGCCATATGCAAGAAATACAAGGTGTCGGATCTATTTTACAATATCTTTATGTTCTCATATAGAAACATTGATGAGCACGATTCCAATGGTCTTAAGCTCTTGAATCATTATCATTTTTGAAAGTAGCCACTGTGTGAATGTTTGTGTTTGTATTTTGTACATAGTTTACCTATCGGAGACCGCCTGAATGGGACTAAACTAGCCATTATTCTTATTTTCCTTTTAGAGGCAGTGTATATTGAATATGAGCCCCACTGTTTGATGTTTGCTTTCATCTTCAGAAGAGTGGCCACTCAAGTGGGTTACATGTACGGTTTTGTGCTATTTCATTTTTTCTGTTTAATTTTGATTATGTAGTTGTCATTAATGGCCGGATAATTTATTTTCAATGGTTGGATAATTTATTTTCAGTTTCGTTTATTTGAGTCTTTATGTTATGCTTATGTGCTTTATTTTGTTTTCATGTGTTTTGCTTACTATAGTTTTAGTATGAAGTTTGAACTTTGATGAGTGTAAATTACATGGATTATGTTTAGATTGATACATTGTCGAAGAGTTAGACTTAGACTTGGAGTCTTGAACTTCAATAGATGTATTTTTCTCTACATAACTTTACAGTTTGTATTGAAAATTGAATACATATTTGATGCTTTTTCTCTACTTAACTTTACATGTTTGATGTTATTTTTATAATTATTGTGATTTTTTAGCCTATTTATTATTATTTATAATTATTTTTTAATTTTTTATTATATTACCGATTCGACCAGTAACTCAACAGTTGAACCAGCGACCTATTGACCTGGTCCTTTCACCGGGCTGGGTTTAAAACTATGCTATCAACCATATAAACTTCTCATGGCATGTTCAATCATTTCCTAGGGCAGGCTTGGTCAAGACTTCCTCCTCTGTCTCTGTTCAACTTCTGGCTATTGAACTTGACGTCGTAGCTTCCACGGATTTGGCTTATTTGACCATTCCTTCTTTTCCACAAAGGTCTCACCGTAAGGACAACCGGCGACATTCTTTCACAACTCCTTCCACATTCACATCACATGCTCAAGTTGACGAGGGATAGGATGTTGAGGAAGATGATTCCCTTGTGCTCCACGTTTTCCAGTGTGACGACACTTCTTTGTCCGTGTCCATCTCCGCTGGCCTAGAGCCCTCACAAGAGGTAACTTTTGGAAGCCTTGAGCCCCCTTGAGCCAACAAATGTATCTATCTATGACTGCAACTGACTTAATTTTTTCGACACTTTCTTTTCATAATATAACCACTGATGTGGCCGAAGATGTTGAGAATGTCGACCTTGAAGGTGAAGAGAGTCTTGCCTATAGGCAAGAATCCCTTGACCTCCCAGCAGGCCATGGTATTCTTCTGGCCACTGAGGCTGCCCAAGTCGCGGCCCCAACTCAAGCTGTTATTCCATCTTCGATGCTATTCCTCTACCTGAAACTGACTTGTCTTTTGTACTAGCTTATCTGAAAGCTCGTCTTTTTTTTGGATCTATCTCTTTTTAGAACCCATGGCTAATTTTGAACCCTAACTTTTAAGATTATCACGAGAAAACATTGTTGATCATTACTGGCCACCTTGCTATTCTGGTAGATGAAGCAAATTTTCTTGTTGAGCGGCTTCACTCAATCAGGTCACTAGCCGCCTTTCCTTTCATTGTTAAAGAGGATCGCTAGGCGTTAACACATTTAGCCGATGAACTTCCATCCATCATTCAAGAAGTAGGGTCGTTGTATTAAAAGCATCAAAACTGCCTTGTCGTCATCTGTGACCAACGAGAACAGCTTATCAACTTGCAACAATATATCCAAACTTGCTCCAAAAATTCTAGTCATTTTTCCTCACTTCCTTAACAGTTGGTAGAGATAGATCACCAGATTATTGAGTTAGAGGTTTAGCGTGCAGCGCTATTGGAGGAATCCATGTCTTACAGAGAACGTTTAGAAGAAATCAAGGCAGCTACGAAAAATAACACGGCCTATGCGGATGAATGCCCGACCGCTACCGAGTTAGCTTCGGCTAAATTATAGGCCATTCATTGGTCACCATACCAATTAGAAACTAACTTTTCCAATTTTGTATAATTCCATGAGAAATGGTAAATATAGATAAAGATGGATTGTTTTGACCCCTACCTCTTTACTTGTATCTATCTTTTTCATTTCGCATGTAATGGTTGACATGATTGCAAATTAACTAGCATTTATTTCCATTTAAATCACGTTCCTGTCTTTTAATTTTCGTGAATGCATTCAGACACTTTGACTGCCTTAGAAAGCGACGCTTTATTCTCCTCTCATTAAACTACCATAAAAATTGGCGATTTTCGAGATTAGGCCATTACTATATTCCAATTCCTTATAGCCTATAAATACCCATGAAGTGCCGGGCATCTCAGAGCAAACTAAAACTCTTCAAAGGATGTCTCCTTGCCTATGCAACAACATTGTTTCCTTTGAACCTCCTGACCCGGAAGAGAGAAAGTTGAAAGAAGACTTTGTTTGTCTACAACCTCTTTCCTCCTTCGGTCTTAACCAAAGTTGTGACTTTATATTTTTTTTCCTCTACGTCCGCAGTTGGATTCACTAACTTACTTCATGTTCTTCCTTCGGATGAATGCTTCTTTGCATCTCCATTCTTGGGTCATTTCATAGATCTTTCTTTTGGGGGTAAGGCAACTTGAATAGACAACATGCACTTGTAGAAGTTGGAAGAAGATACTACATTTGGCTTCTGGTCCATTTGAAGGCCATGTTCTGTTTTACTCCTTTGATCTTTAGATTGACCCTATGGTGACTTTCCTCAACATTCTTCTGGAATAGGAAGGTGGAGACTAAGGAAGGTTCTCAAGTTTGGAAATGTCCTATTAAAGGTCTATACTGTCTCATACACCCAAGCTTTCTCTTTTACTTCTGTTCCTTTCTTTGTCTCCGACGTGCAAGTTGTCATCTTCAAGTTGGGACGACAAGCTTCCGGAGACAAGCTACTTTGATGTAGTACTCATGTAGCTCTTCATTTTACTTGTATTTTGTAAATTGTATTCATTGAACTTGTACAAAATTCTATGAATAAAACTTATATTATTATTCATCCATTTCCATTTCCATTTCGGCATTGCATTCTTTACAATTGTTGAATGGTAGGACAAATCCAACCGTGTTCCAAGGCCTCCTAGACCATCGGTCTTTAGGCCTTTAAGAATTGTTCATTGATGGAGTGAATGTGATGCTCTGCATCCAAGTCTTTTAAATGGTAAACACCACCTTTCTTGATCTCTAGGATCTCAAACGACCTCTTCCAGTTGGTTGACCACCAAACCTTTGATCATTAAGTCCTAAAAGCACTTAAGTTATGCTAAAAAGCCACTCGCAATGACTTTACGGTGATCTCTATAGGCAAGATCGCATCATGCCTGTAAGTCAGCTTAAATGGTGTAACTTCGGTGTTGGACCGTTTTGACGTTCTGTACACCCATAGTGTTTCTGATAGCTTATCATGCCAACCCTTGGGTTATCTTCCACCATTTTAGCAATAATTCATTTCATCACTTTGTTGGTAGACTCGTCATGGTCGTTCCCTTGTGCATAATATAGGGTTGAATGAATCACGTTAAAGCTATATTCCTCTGCAAAACTTCACTTCCTACAAAGATTGTTCCTTAATCGGCCACTATGTACTATGGAAGCCCAAATTGGTGCACTATATTTTTATTTTTAATATTAATGATGTTGGTTTGATTGACCGTTCTCATTGGGATGATCTCTACCCACTTAGTGTAATAATCTATGGCCAAAATGATAAAAGAATGTTGTTTTGTCGACATGAAAAATATTTTCCCTATCAAATCCATGGCCCAATCTCTGAACAACCATAACTTTATCACGGGCTTCATTTGTATTACTAGAGTCCTTTGGATAGGCCCATGTCAGTGGTATGCCTGACAACCATTTGCATACTCAATGCAATCCTTCAGGATACTTAGCCAATAATAGTCATATCTCCTAATCAGCCATCACATCTTGATGTCAGCCTAATGTGCGCCACATATGCTTTCATGGCCTTTGGCCATTGCTAGAATGATCTATTCTCTACCAATGCATCTTAAGAATAAGTCATTATGCATCCCTTTCTTATACAACTCCTCATCTATGAGTATATAAATGACGGCCAGTCTCTTGACGACCTGTTCTATATCCCTATTTGGATATTTTAGGAATTGCATGATATCAAACCTCCAATCTTTCTCTTCCATTTCCACCATTAACTTCTCAAAGTCTATCCCTCTAGCTTTTTATGGATGGCAAGACCTTCCTTTGAACTTTGATTAACTACTCATCCATACCTCGAAGAAACCCTCAATCCCGATTCTAGCTAGGCCAAGTTATTAACTAGGCCATTCAACTCCCTTGGGACCACTCGCAAAGTCATGTCGTTGAAGTTTGCCAACAAAGACATTACACCATTCTACCACTTTTCGCACCATTCGTTCCTCGATATCATCCTCGAGCGAGGACTCAGGTTCCATCTTTTTCTTCCCCTTTTCTTTAGCCGTGGCTTTCTTTGGAGCCACTGCACGTTGCATGGGCGAAGAAAGACCCAATGGGGACTTGATCTCCCCTATCCTTGGATGCTATCGTCAGAACATCTCTTGCCCTTCCTAGGCCTCCATCTCTTGATATTCCTCCCACTTGCGTAGGTCCGCCTAAATGCACTACTTTATATGCTTCTGAGCTTTGGATAGTAGATACGATTGATGATACTGAAATGTGTACACTCAAGTGCAGACGGTCAAGCTGTAATAATAATTCGATTAACTTCAGAGTTGAATCCACAAGGAACTATTATCAGTGTTTCGAAGTAAGTAGTGACAAAGACCAAGTAATTGGAACCCTTGAGATTTGAAGTTATGAGATTTTCTAAACAGAATATAAGATTCTTTCCGAAGGGTTTTTTTTTCTGGACAAAATATAATAAATTATCAAATGTAAAAGTCACCATTTAGC